TTTTCAAGTTTTTTTTTCTTTTTTAGAGACAAGGGCTCACTATCACGCCCAGGCTGGTCTTGAACTCCTAAGATCAAGCAATCCTTCCTCCTCGGCCTCCCAAAGTGCTGGAGTTACAGGGGAGCCATCATGCCTGGCCTAGCATTTTAATTTCTCTTGGGTATATATTTAGGAGTAGAATGTCTGGGTCATAGGGAAGGATATGTAACTTTGTAAGAAATTATTGCCGGGCTCGGTGGCTCAGCCTGTAATCCCGCGCCTTTGGGAGGCTGAGGTGAGTGGATTGCCTGAGCCCGTGGGTTCGAGACCCGCCTGGACAGTGAGATCTCATCCTCTACAATAAATCAAGAAATCAGCTGGGCGTGGTGGCGCATGCCTGTAATTCCGGTTACTTGGAAGGCTGAGGCGGAAGGATCGCCGGAGCCCAGCAGGTCCAGGCTGCGGTGGCTGGGAGTGGCCACTGCACTCCAGTCTGGGCAACAGAGTGAGACTCCAACTCAAAAAAAAAAAGAAAGAAACGATTACACTTTTCCAGGGTCTTAATATGATTTCAAATTCCCATTAGCAATGTATGAGTTCTAATTGCTCTACGTTTTCTCCAGCAACTGGTGTTGTCATTCTAATTTTAGCCATTCTAGTGGGTGGGAAGTAGTGTTTCATTGTGGCTTTTTGTTTTTTCTGTTGCCCAGGGGAGTGCAGTGGCACGCTCACGGCCACCACAGCCTCAACCTGCTGGGCTCTGGCAATCCTTCCACCTCAGCCTTCCAAGTAGCTGGAACTACAGGCAAGCGCCACCATGCCCAGAGGTCTCGCCAAGTTACCCATGAGCTCAGGCAATCCTCTCACCTCAGCCTCCCAAAGTGTTGGCATTATAGGCGTGAACCACCACCCCCAGGGCTCATTGTGGTTTTAATTTGCGTTTCCCTGTTGTTGAATGCTTTTTTTTCATGAGCTTATAGGCAAGTCCTATGTTCTACTTCTGTGAAATGTCTTCAGATCTTTCGACCTGGGACACATTTTAGAAAATTTAATATGTTACACTTAATCAAATCTGCACTATTTAAAAAAAAAAAAATGCCAAACTGACATGATGATGCCTTTTAAACTTCTCTGAGAATTTTTATAAAGAAATAATTACTTATTAATATGATTAGTGACCCAGAATTGTGACATGTCCTGAATATTGTTAGAAAGCCTTGAGATATGATCCAAGATAAAGTATTATGACTAAGAATTTGCTTTAGAGAAAAGCAATTATATATTCAAAATACTCATTAAAGGAAGTGTTTTATTCACCTTCAGGAAGTTTGAAATGAGACAGACATTTACTTATCTTTTTTCCTCCTTTGAAATGCTTATTTAGAAAAATTAGAAGTTAATCTATCAAAGTTCTTGGCTTATGATCCTAGAAGAATACTTGTCTGCTGAGGTGACTGCTCTATTTCTCTGTGACTTCTCTCTCTGGGTCAAGTCTGACTTCCATGACTATGATCCAAGTGTTTTAGGACATGTTAGCCATACCATATCTAATCAAATTGTTTATATCACACTGCTGGAAACTGACCTGAGCCAGTTTGGTCATGCACGTCTCTTAGGACTTGTTGATAGGTAACAAGAACCACCAAAAGAACTTGAGGTAGATGAGGTTTAACTATTCCCCTACAACTTGCCAGATTATTTACATTTTATTTTCTTTTTTCTTTTGTCAAGATGGAGGTCTCGCCTTGTTACCCAGGATGGCCTCGAACTCCTGGTCTCAAGTGATCCTCCCACTCTGGCCTCCCAAAGTGCTGGGATTACAGGTGTGAGCCACTATGCTCAGTTGCTACCAGGTTATAATGAAAGCCAGACTCAGATGAAAAATTCATTCCCACGACAGTCATTTATGAAATTACATATTTATCAGTAAGCAGGCACAAAATAGATGATACAGCCTGTCCTGTATGCTTAGCTCCTGCACTTTTAGGTACTCTGTCCTCTTTTTTTTTTAAGTCAGAGTCTCACTGTGTCACCCAGGCTGGAGTGCAGTTGCACGCTTACAGCCACGGCAGACTCGACCTACTAAACTCAGGCAATCTTTCCACCTCAGACTTCCAAATAACTGGAACCACAGGCATGCACCACCACTCCTGGCTAATTTTTTTGATTTATTGTAGACATGAGTTCTTACCATATTGCTCAGGCTGGTCTCGAACCCCTGAGCTCAGGCAGTCCTCTCGCCTCCGTTTCCCAAAGTGCTGGGATTACAGGCGTGAGCCACTGTATCCTGCTCTGACCTCTCTTTTTATGGAAGGTTTACTTGAAGCAGACTTGACAGTATTTCAGGTAAAGAATTCTGTTATGCTTATAGTTAGTACCAGTTAACTAGAAATCCTCACAACCAGCTGGATGGGAGGCCAGTGTAGGCATCCAGACTTAATTTTCAAACACTGATCCTCAATGTGACTCTCCTTAGATTCTTATCATCTGTTTCTCCAAGGAGGGGGAGTGTCTAAAACACACACATATATATATATATATATATATATATATATATATATTTTGAGTCAGAGTCTCACTCTGCCTCCCAGGCTGGAATGCAGTGGCATACTCATAGCCACCACAGCCTCGACCTGCTGAACTCAGGCGATCTTTCTGCCTCAACCTTCCAAATAGCTGGAACTACAGGCATGAGCTACCAGGCCCAGCTAATCTTTCTGATTTATTGTAGAGATGAGGTTTCATCAAGTTGCCCAGGATGGCCTCGAACCCATGGGCTCAGGCAATCCTCTTGCCTCTGCTTCCCAAAGTGCTAGGATTACAGGCTGAACCGCCTGTAATCCCAGTATTTTAGACAATCTACAAATATGCACAGTCACTCATTTCACCAATGAACCCCTTTCTGACAACCATTCTGATTTACAAGTCCCTAATTTTTACCAGTAAAATATTTTTGCAGGCATTTGAGGCTGCAGTGAGCTAAGATCATATTGCAACCTGGGTGACAAAGTGAGTCCTTCTTTTTTTTTTTGAGTTGGAGTCTCACTCTGTCACCCAGACTGGAGTGCAGTGGC